ATAGCGTCTTATTATTGCAGAGTTTCCTACTGTACACTTTGTGAGATGAAAAGGCGTGTCTTCCACAAAATACAGCAGCAGAATGAGTTCTGTTAAGAAAAAATACGCTGCTAGAAATGGATCTGAGTCTATCTCCAAATATGTTCACAGCTGTAGTAATTAAAGATAACAGTCTAAATCCAAATTTTCTGAATTTATCGGCTGTCATTAATTTTTACTTTGGAGTACATACAGTTAGGGGTATGAATGTTACAACTCTTACTCCTCACCTCAGGTTTTATATAAACAATACTGGATTAAAGTAAGAATTGAAGAGGTCAGGCATATATAACTCAATAGGCTAATCTACTCAACCCATGATTATTTTTTTATTCTTTAATTCTTTACGTATGTTTATTCTAGGCTGGTATGTGGTGAAGAGCAACTGAGAAATGTTTCAGTATTGCGTGACTGAGTTGAATGCCATAATGTTGTTATCTGTTTCCACTTGAAATTTTTAAGGAATCGAGTGCAAATATTATTTCATAACTTATCCTTGAGATAAGCGTTGAGGATGTGACATATGCAGGTGTTGTTTATATGGGAGCAAGTAGTGGTGGTTTCTTGAAAATACTGCAGTGGAGAGGTGAAAGGTTTTCTCTGAAACGGATCAAGTTCTACTCTTCCTAATATCCCTTTTGGGGAAGTAAATTGTGTGGCATGAGGTGGGGTGGACTGTGAGAGGAGGGAGCGGGTCAGAGCGAGTCCCTGTGGGTTTGGTTTTCTTTGGGATCTAGCATTCTCTGCAGTGTGTATCAGCAATCTTCCAACTTGTATTTATTGCTGTGTCAGGGTGGACATGCATCTAACAGACCGACTGTGAGATCTGAAAACCACACAAATTTGTGTTCAAATGTGGATCTTCTGTAGCCTCGGCCAAATGACAAGTGATATGCTAAGATCAACAGTATACTTCACACTAGCATGCACATATTGTGATGCTGAGAAGCCTTTCTGATGCTTTTTTAAAAAGAAAAGTCATTTGAATATAGTATTGGAAAATAACAAGACCTTTAATATATAGACTGTAATTCTGTTCAAGTGCACCTATTATAGCCGTATGAAAGTCATACCCCTCTAGTGCTGCCCTGGGCCACAGCCTTGGGGTTGGGAAGGTGTGCTTGCTCTTTTATTTGTTAGCAGTTTAATTCATCTATTTGGAAAAGTAAAAACTGTTTACTTTAGTGACTTAATGCCTACTGGAAGGTGCTGTGTGTGTGGCTCAGTTCCTGGCTGTGTCACACACCTTCAGTGTGGTGCTGGCCCACTGTTCCTGGAAGGCAAAACCTCCAGCAGTGAGCCCAAGCGTGAACACGTTTGGGGCTGTGGCCGCATGGAGGGAAGGTGTTTCACAGCACTCCAGGAGCGGGGGATGAGACGAAGCTGTCAGTCAGCTATAGCCTGTATTTATTAAGCGACAGTTTCAATTCTGAAGACTGTGTCACTAGTAGGTGTACCAAATCTCTAGGACTGCTTTTATTGCATAGCTTTGTTGTAGAGGGGTTTGACTGAATAAAACTGAAGTAATTGAGCAGAGTATTCAGAAGGGGCCTGGCTGGCCACAACCAAACTCTGCACAGAGGCAGTGGAGACGGTCCCCTGGCTCCTTACTGAAAATTCCCTCTGCAATAACTTTTTAGGGAATAAACACACCATTCATTTTGTCACACTCTTATAAAACATTCAGAAGAGATGTGCTCACATAATAGTCTTGGCTTTTCTGGGTTCTTGCTATTGTTTTGATTTCATTCTTTCTCTGCTTTCTTCTTTTCTTCCATAACATTTAACAGCAGCCATTCATCATTACTTCTTCTTGACAATGTCAAACTTTTGTTTTGCTTAGGACTGTATCAACCCATCACCAACCTTTCCTGTCTTAACCATCAAACATCACCCTACTTGTCTTCTGAAAGATTAAGAACTGTGTAAAGCACATGCCTAGAGATTTTAGTTCTTCATCAGTGTGAGTACTGGCAGTGTAAGGGCACTAAGCATAAGGTAACTTTAAGGAACAATTGAAAGAAATTTTTGGAAGTGCACAAGAGGCAGAACTACAGACTGTATTGTAGAGCACTGAATAGGAAATCCCTAAATGAGTGGGTCTGTACCAAAATGATGGACAAAAAAAAGGAAGTACACCATATATTATGGGATTAAAAATCAGAAGGGCGATTGGAGCTATAAAATGGGAAGCAATATGCCATGGGGAAAGCAGGGGAGGCACCAGGTAATGTTTTCTGTAGGAAACCACAGGCTTGCCTGTGACCCTCTAAACTGTAAAGTACCCCGAAATCCTAAGCAGCAGAATTAGACAGAAATAAACTCTGCCAGGTCAAAGCAGTGTTGGAAAATGAATGTTTTCCTCTTGATGTTCAAATGGTTGGATTAGTCATCTATTGTGTGCCTTGTTTTTCTACAGAAGTAATTGATAAAAGTTAAGGTTTAGCATTTTCAGAGCTGGGAGATCAGAGTAAGAGGATGAGTCAGTAAGAAGTGCCTAGCAACTAGGACTGGAGGGTCTTGATCGCATGGAGAGCAATCAGGGGCAGGTGGCGTTAGCAGTGTGATAGAGTAAAATAAAGGCAAGCCAGGAAGGATCCAGGTTTCCTGTAGAACTGGACAAAAGCTTGAATGTCAAAATTCTGATGGGTTTTTGCTGTCATTTAGACTAGAAGTTTATACCACAAGAGAAGTTCTGTGAATTTTTTTTTTTTCCTAATGTATACTTACAGCTTTGGACAATATTTTCTCAGTAGCATTGCAGTACAGCAGAATTACCATGAATTCTATTCTACTGCATAAAAGAGTATTACAGCATTTTTTAAGAGCTCAGGTGAGTCTGGAAAAGGTGCTTTAGTTGGCAGGTATAGTTAGCATTTGGGCCTCACCTGCTTCATCTAGACGGATGATTTTCTTAATTGTTGCATTATCAAATGCTTTGTGTACATAAGTAACATAAAAGACATAATTTTTTATTGATAGTATACTAGAGCCTATTATTCATGCTATACCAGAGCCTGAAAACTAAATTAGAGACAGATCTTGATTTAAAGAGTAAGCAAGTTATCCCAAATCTTAGGGAACAGACAGAATGAGATAAATAGCACTAAAAGAGTAATGTATATTCAGCTGAGGACACCATTTGTCCACAGTCTAGTATTACTTCTAGACTGCAACTGCCTCATTTGATTTCCAATGCTTCAACGGATATTTACACAAGCCAAAATACTTCCCAGTCCAAAATAGTTGCATGTACTTCAGTAGTCCGCCCTTTCTCATTCTTTTCTTTGGCAATGGGACTGGGGGAAAAAAAAAAAAAAAAGCCACTGATACATTTGCTTGGCTTCATTTTATCTGACTCAGCTATTTTAAGTCAGTGGGATTTTAAAATTCATTCTTTTATTCCTGATAGCTGGGCCACTTCCTTCATTTCTATTACCCTTGAGTGCAAGTGAATTATTTCATCTCTGCAATCACAGACTTGCCAGTTCTGCATAGGGCTAGTGGATTTCTTAGGTGTGCTTCCTAGAGCATCCTGACACACAGAGGAACATCCAACACAGTGTTTTGCAGAATGTGTTGTGTTTTTCTTACCTGTTGAGTCGCATAAGAAAACTATTGTTTGTTTTGTATATAGCATGGGCTTTTATTGCTCCCGAGTCCTCGCATGTCAGGAAGGGATTTCTCTTGCAAGGTGGTGTCTTCTGTAACATTTCTGAGTCTCACGCTGCACTGGTTGTGGTAGTACTTCCAGTGACTGTGAGAAAAGGTTGTTTCATCCTCGGATTACTCAAGTGCAAACCCCACTGCTGCTTAAATAGAAGAGCTGTGTGCTGTTCTTGTTAGGAGCTTCCAAAGCGTAAATGAAATCCGTGGTGAAGACAAGATTCATGCTTGGAAGAATAAAAGAACATACTACCTAGAAATAATACTTAGGGACAAGTTCTTTTCATTCAGCCATCCGTTATTTATAGGTAGTGGTATGGTGAACTTCTGCTAAATTCTAGTTGTGCTTTAATACAGTATATGGATAAATCATATATATATATATATATAAATTATTATAACTGTATATTATATAACATAAATCCAATAAGATGTTAAAACATAATCAGAAGTATGGGAAAAAGAAGGAAGGTGAGTCCATCCTATTCAGTTTGAGTTAGAAATCCTCATTCTGAGCTGCTGGCTTGCCAGAAGGAAGCAAATTTTCTTATTCCCTCTTTGAAATTGCTGTTTTCCAAACACTATAGTTTGCCACTGAGGGTAAGACACCTTGTTTTGGTGGGATTCCTGACAAAGCATGGGATTGTCCCACCAAAACAAGGTGTCTTACCCTCAGCGGCAAACTATAGTGTTTGGAAAACTTAGAGTTATTTTATTGGTTATAATTATTTTTATAGGACCTACCAAAAACACTTTAAATACACGGAGAATCTGGTTGTGATCGCACACGTAAATTAAAAATAATTGTTTAAAGAAATATTTTAGTTGTGAAGCTGCTACAGTATAAAGCTGATATAGGTAGGAAAGAAGTGAGGTTATCTTGGTTCGAACTGAATAAAATGAGATTGTAATTTATTTATTTATTTATAAATACCATTGTGCATGCATATCCTTGTTTCTTCAAAGTAAGATTTTAAACCCTATTATGTTTTGAATAAAACTAAAAGCAAAATGATGGATCTGAAAGGTATGGATAGCACTGTCTCATATTGACAGGTACCTATCTCTGTACCAATATAGCAGACAGGAAAAAAAAAAAGATTCTTAGATAAACATTGTAAAATAGTGTTCCAGTTTTAACAGTGATTGTCCTGAAGTTACTTATAGTTTTCAGGTTCTGTGGGGAAAAGACCAGAAAGTGGCTAATGACAGTTACATATTGCTGATTTTCTTGAGATCTGCATGGCCTTTCTCTTTCTTTTCCATAATTAAAATGAAGTTGATGATTTCCACAGCTACAGTCTTTCTAGAGTTTTGGAAAAGGAGGAGAGCTGTATTAACGTATGACTGGGACCTCATAGACTGGGAAGATGAAGAGGTAAGACTAAACAGTAGTAAACCTGTAAATCTGGCTAACAGCATGATTTAAGTGTATATATCAATTCATATTCTATGCCCAAAATCTGAATTTGTCATTCATATTGTATTTATAACACTAATTGGAGAACAAACAAGTATAGTCGAGACTATACAGGGATACTTTGCTTTCTGCAACTAGCATTATAATTCCATACCTAATTCTACATTTATTTAAAGTATCCTTTGAAAAATTGAGTGGAAATACTGCCCATGCAGAGCTACTGCTGATGTCAGCACCAATGCCTTTCAGTTCTATGGTTTCTTGTACTGGAAATGCCTAATCTTGCCTAAAAATGGGACCAAGACAAGCAAAGGGATAGAAACTGGATGTTATATCCTTCTGAGAGGCATAACTTATCCTTTAACATTCTGCTATCAGAATCAGCAATAGTAAAATGATTTTATTAACTTCATAGTCTCTAGTGAACATAGCTGCAGTTTAACTGTATTGGTGGTTTAACTGCAGTCTAAGTCAATAGAGACTTTGCCATTACTTGTTTTAGAGCTTTCCATAGATGCATAGATACAAGCTGGTGGCTTTTAATGAATGGTTTCATATCCCAAAAAGCACCATCATAACTGGCATTAATTTATAGTTTTCTTATCAATTTATCCGAAGTGTTGAAGTCAGTCATCATGACCCGTGATCCTTTTAATACCCTAATACACTGGGGAGGGCTCTTACAGTTTCTGGGGTTTGTTGGTCTCTGACACTGTTTCCAGGGATTTCAAAAGAGCAAATTATTTGGATATTTGAGCTGAAGCATTATAGAAAAGAATTTGTATCAGTCCAAATTTCCTGCTTTGTAGCACATATACGTGTGATTTTTGATACTTCAATGAAATAAATGGTACAACAAATGGAATCCACCCTGTCATTCCAGGAAGAGCTGCGCCCCCAGTTTGAAGCTAAATATTCCCAAGTGGAAAGAGTAAATCCCATCACAGGAAAACCTGAACCTTTTCAGCCTTTCCCTGATAAGCTCAGTCGACTGATGGTGTCTGTCTCAGGAATATTCTTCATGGTAAATGTTTAATAATATCCGAATTATTGTAGCCTTTAATCTTATTCTGATGTAAATAGTAATGCAAGTCATGAGTGCATTCATTAAGGTTAGTAGATTTACATGATACAGGCAAAATTGATTGTCTCAGTCTCACCGCTCGTTTATGGATCTTTTTCTTTTAAAAGATGTAATATATTGTAAAAGAACAGTGAAGAAATGTTTTCATTCATCAGTCTAGTATTTTCATTCTCTCAAAGTCTGCTCACCAAAAAAATTGGCAGTCTTTAAAACACTTGTTTATTTATTACTTCAGTGGAAATTATTGCAGATATGGTTTATTTTGTTCTAATATCTCTTCATAAATACTTACCTGTAGATTTCGCTGGTCCTCACTGCAGTGTTTGCAGTTGTGGTGTATCGTCTGGTAGCCATGGAACAGTTTGCTTCTTTCAAGTGGTATTTCATCAAGAAGTATTGGCAGTTTGCAACGTCTGGCACTGGAGTCTGTATCAATTTTATGATCATCATGTCACTCAATGTTGTAAGTCTTCTGTTGTTTTAACGGAGGGATTGATTTTCAAGTAATTTTTGCAAGGTTACTGAGTTTACTGTGTATCAGATATATATATATATATATATATCTCATATATATATATATATATATGTGTTCTTGCTTATTCATATACCAGTGTCTGAAGCTAGTATTTCAGGGGGTTTTCCTCTTCTAATACTGTTTGTCAATGTTTTTCTATTATACCTACTTAATTTGTCACTACACATCATTGCTTATGTCACCAAGTCACAGTGGTTACAGACTACTGCTTTCTACATTTACATTTTTGTTTTTTACATTACCTTTTACAATACATCTCTGAATGGAACTACCTTGTTTTCTTGGCTGAGAATTCTCCTTCTGTTATTTTTTAACTGATAACTTTGAATTCTTCCCTTATGTAAAATGCATCTGTGATATCAGTGTTGCATAGTCCTAGAATCACTGTGATAGATTATTTCAGTTTAAGCTTTTCCTGTCATGTAACAGCACAGGTTTAATCATTTGCTGTGGTAGTACAATGTACGTTGATATAAACTCTGTTCCTTCAACTGCCATATAATTTATCATTTTCCTATTCTCATGCAGGCACAAACAGGTAAAAAAGAATAATAGGACAGCAAACAGTGGCTTTTAACTCAGTTAAGGAGATTGTGCACTTGCTGCAATAAGAAAGCATTCTTCAGAGCAGCCTGTCATCTATTTTATTCCTGTTGTTATATATGATGATTCTAAGTCATCAAAAGTACATTCAAGTGAACAAGAGCACCAAAGCTATTGAAAATAACTTGCTATTAGTAGTAAATACTCAAGGAAGTATTTTTCAGAGTTGGTGACTACCTTGGGCCAAGTGTCATTTTAAAGTAAAGACTGGAGGTAGTCGATGTGTAGAGAGATAAGGAAGTTTTCTGTAGGAGGCTGATCTCCTCACCAGTATGCACATTCATGCAAAGCAAAATCATATTGTGTAAAGGCTTCTGCCTACTTTACGATCACTTAAGTTTGTTTCTGAAGCTAGAGCATCTAACTGTGCATTAAGACACTCATTAATGTCTGAACACTCCTCTTGATCTTGATTTATCTTTACTGTATATTTAGTGTGTATACTTACATACATACATTTAGATGGATAAAGAGAATGGGTCTAAAGTAGTTCCTAAAGTTTCAAAGAACTACTAAGGTTTTATAGGAAACTATACATTCATATGTAGCTACAACACTGCACTCCCTTCTCTGTTCAGCTACCCTGATTCTGCAGGGCAACAGAACACCTCTGCTTTGGGTGCTTGTTTTTATTCTGAATTTGACATCACAACAGACAGGGATGCTATAATTTACTTATACCATCTCTTTTTTCTGTTTTAGGTATATGAAAAGGTTGCTTATCTCCTGACAGACTTAGGTATGTAGGTCTTTACTAGTGGTATGGTTCTTGCTAGCTGTGGTATATACCTTTTACTACAATAAAATGGGGGTTTGCAAACTTCATCTGTACATAGTACGATTCTGGAATTTCCCAAAATAAGTGAGAAATACCAGAGAAAGAAGTGATACGATTATTTCACTAAAGAAATAATAGAAAAGAAAGGAATTTATTCTTACACTTCTATTTTTTCTTTTATGTTTTACAGTATAAATTGAAAAAAACTTAGAATGGAACAAAAGTCAAAACATCGTTTCTTAGAATGCCAAAACAGGTTTTTTTTTTTCCATTTGGAATTCTCTAAATGCTTGGAGGTTTTTTTTTTTCCAATTTTTTAATTTGAACTTTTGTATTTAAAAAAAAAAATGGGTTAAGATAAAATTACATTGTCCAAGATAAAAATGATAAGTCATAAATTTTAAAGTTCGCTCTAATTCTGTCACATTAAAAATTTATACTGATGCCTCTAGTCATGATCCAGTCATAGAGGTAAAGCTTTCTAGCTTATAGAAAACAAGAAAGCAAAGATAGCATTTCAGATCTACTATGTCAATGTGTTACCTTTTAGCGTTTCTTCTTACACGGTCTCTTTTAGCCCGTGTCAAAATATGTAGTTGATCTCGTCATAGTTTTAAAGGAACCTCGCTGCTTAGGTTTAACGGCTCCCTCTTCTGGTTAAAGTGCTGAAGAACATGCATTAAGCAAGATGCTCAAAACTATAGTCTTGCTAACTGGCTGTTGAACAGGTTAGAAAAATTCAGAATGTACAGTCAAATTATTAAAGTATATTTTCATATCACACTGATTTATATTCTTACTATTTCAAATATATTGAATATATATATATACACACCAGGGAATGGGAAAGAAATTATTTCATTTAAGTATACAAGCTGATTTTTCCCAAAATACGTGGCTTGTATCTCGTTTTTCCACATAGAACCAACATAGTTTGAGCTGGGACAGTGGTTTTATGACCTGCAGACAACTCTCTGATGGGGGAAAAAAAAGTAATTAACTGCAACATGATGGGGCACGTGGCTTGAAACCATCATTTGTTTTGTTAGTGTTGTTTTTGAGCGAAGTTAGTCATAACTCCATCTTATTTATGTTTGTGTAATGTATATTGTGTCTTTCCACAGAGCACCCTAGAACAGAATCTGAGTGGGAGAACAGCTTTGCCTTGAAAATGTTCCTCTTCCAGTTTGTCAATTTGAACAGCTCCATCTTTTACATTGCCTTTTTTCTTGGCAGGTAAGTTATCTTTGCTAACTTGCACTTAAAGGAAAACTTGCCCGGGACTTACTCATAATCCTTGCTAATTTTATAGGTTTGAAAAAAATACAGTAACAGTTTGAACAGTAAGATTTAGATGTGAGTCGGTTTCTGAGGATAATTAATAACTCTAAATTGATATTTTTAACTGTATGTGAGGGTTGGATCCTTGAAATCTTTATTCAAGAGATTAGGCAATAAAAATTATTCTTTTAAAGTGGCTCTATGTACATTACTTTCCTGCTAAATGAGAATTAAGAACCTTTGAAAGTACAGCCACTTCCTAAATGTGGGTATGTATTTAGCCCTGTGCTAATAGGCTTTATTCATGTTTTTCTTGTTTATTCCCCTTCGGTTACATTTCCCAGGATCTATTGCTATAAATAGCAAATATTGTCTGGCAGATCTTATACAAGAGTAGAAGGCAGAAATTCTGGCTCCAGTCTTTGTGTGTATCTTCAGCTCAGAGCATGAGATACTGGGCAGGTCTAACCTTGCTTCATCTGAAGCAATCTGCATTTTCATTACAATCAGACTGATCATTCCTGTAGGACCTATAGAGTATTTCAGAGTACCTTCTAGAAAGTTTTATAATATAATTTCAGTTCAAGATTGTTTGGAAAACAAAACCAAACCAAACAAACCTCTAGTAAAGACTATTGCTGATATCTGCTTGTTACATCCAGTGGTGCATTTGCTGTTCAGTTTCTAAACTTCTTTGTGTTGTGCTATCTCCTGTGTCTAGTAGGACCAGGCATGTTTTTTTTTTTCTCTCCCATTTATAACTTTCACTGAGATCGTTCAGAGTTTTGATTCAATTTGTTCTACAAGAGTCTGTTAGAACTGTAAAAAGCGTTTAGTTATGATGGGTTTGGAAGTGATTTTATGCTTGGATGTCTGAGAGTGCAATCCGGTGCACACTTCATGTGGACAGGCAGATCCCTGTGCTGCAGTAAATTCCGATGTATTGCAATGGTTTATCTTCTTAGACGTAGATTAGAGTGTCTGAGTGTCTAACATGTAAAATCTCTGAAGCTAGGGTTTTTGTTCTGGACATAATAAAAGTTTAGGATCGCTTGCAAAATGATGGTCTTTGTCTGCGTTCTGAAACTTCTGGCATGCCAGATTTAAGTCTGTGTGATTTAATCTGTTTATATTTCATGAGTTTGCTCAGTGAATGTTGTGAAATAACTACTGATACAGGGTGTTCTTGAAATGTCCACTGAGAAACAGAAATCTCGTTTCCCAGATTTGCAGGCCGCCCAGGAAAGTACAACAAGCTTTTTAACAGATGGAGATTGGAAGAGGTAAGCAATCCTATTTTGTGTTCCTGTGTAATTTCCATGAGTAAAAAGGAAATGGCAGAAGGACACGAATTATGTCCAGTTTGAAAGATTTATTGTTCTGTTTAAGTACAGTGAAGAGTAAACTCTTATTTATAGCAAAGGATAGGAAACAGGAGATGTGTTTTTCCTTCTGCTCTCTCCACTGTGCTGCGTGACTCTGCCCGAGACACGCAGTTCTTTCTGCCTCTCTCTTTGGAACAAGCAAACAGTGATAGTCCCTTACCTCACAGGCACTACTAAGTCCTACGTGATTGGAATCTCCTGGGTATGTGGAATTTTTGGATGGAGGACATAAATATATCGCCATTAGCTTCTTGAGTTTCTGCCAGCACAAGACAGACATGGACCTGTTGGAGCAGGTCCAGAGGAAGGCCACAAAAATGATCAGAGGGATGGAGCATCTCTCCTATGAAGAAAGGCTGAGAGTTGGGGTTATTCAATCTGGAGAACAGAAGGCTCTGGGGAAATCTTTCAGTACTTCAGGGAGGATTATAAGAAAGATGGGGACAAACATTTAATAGATCTGTAACAATAGGACAAGAGAGAATGGTTTTAAACTAAAAGAGGGTAGATCTGACTAGATTTTGACTAGATTTTTGACTGGATATAAGGAAAGAATTTTTTACAATGAGGGAGGTGAAACACTGGAACAGGTTACCCAGAGAGGCTGTAGATGCCCCATCCCTGGAAATATTCAAGGCCAGGTTGGACGGAGCTCTGAGCAACCTGATCTAGTGGAAGATGATCCTGCTCATTGGACTAGATGATCTTTGGAAGTTCCTTCCAACCCAAACTACCGTGTGATTTTATGATTTAAATGAAGAAAAGTAGTATTTTCAAAATTTAGCCTGAAATGTGTTAGAATTGCACCTCCCTGGTTATCGCTAGCATGCTGAAGTTACCTCTTCTCTCTGAAAAACAGGTTTCTACTGCTGAACCTTGGTAGCCACAGAGTAAAATACCATAACTTTCTAGTCCATGGTCTAAAAAAAGTTTCTGTAATTACTAAACATTTTAATATGTTAATTTATATATTTAAGATACTGGTACCAGAGATTCAGCTGTCTGTTCAGAGTTAAGGCATTATAAATGAAATATTGCTCCATTCTTTTGAAATGAATCCGTACATATTGGTTTAAGTGAAATGGGCTACATTGTTTAACATGAAATATGTCTAGAGGTTGTTTAAGTCAAGTCTGTGTTAATATATCTGTTATTAATAATTCTTTTAATATTTCTGTAGCCGGAGGTTTGTGTTTTCCAGAAAGCATATTTGAATATTTTTCATTTGCCCTCTGAACAAATAAAAATGAAAGGAATTCTCTGGTTTTAGCTATTAATCTTTTTCCATTTCATTTCAGTGTCATCCTAGTGGTTGCTTGATAGATCTGTGTTTGCAAATGGGAGTTATTATGGTTTTAAAACAAATGTGGAACAACTTCATGGAACTAGGCTATCCGTAAGTTCAGATGTTGAAATTTGTTTTACGTATCCTGATTACATATTAGTGTGATTCAGTGATAGGGAAAAATATGTTTGGAGAATGTTTTCACTTTTTGCATCTCACAGACTGTAGTTTTATTCCTAAGGGAAGCATTAGCTGCTGCTCTAAAATAAAGCTTCTCAGGGCGTGTTAACCATTTAAATTGTTTACTGTGATTTCATTTTCCATAATATAAACTGCTGTTAAGCTACTGAAGAGAGTAATGGGCTAAAAGTCTTAAAGCTCTCTTGAAACTGGAAGAATATGTTTTTGGTAAAAGGTTGCTCATCAAACATTAACTAAATCAAAGTTTCAGCCTTGAAAATATGTCAGAAAGGGTTATGCTCCCAACGTGCAATCGTTCCGCAGATGAGGGGCAGTGTGTACTATATTATTGTGAGATGTGGATTTCTGAAAACAAGAAACCTACTTGAAGTATCAGGCTTCCTGTCTTAGCCCATCAGCTCCTTAACTCTGTCCCGAATTTATTTTAGAGCACGCTCTTATATTTGTTTATGGAAAGCAGGGGTTTGTTCTGACAAACCATTGTTTGCAACTGAGGCAACAGTAAGTTGACTTGAGAAAAAATAGAAGCCTGTTAATGAAAACACTTATATTTTCCATCCTCAGTCTCTCTTCTATAATATCTAGAAACAAACAATAGTCTTTAATTGCCACCTGTGTCAGTACTGGATAATACTTTCATTTGTAAAACACTTTAATTTGTGAGTCTATTACCTACTTAATATTTATAACTACTTTATGAAAAGACCACTGTACAGCTTCGTAAAAAATAGTCTTAAATATTTGCAGCTTCAGCACCTTTCACCTTTTTAGACACTTTTTCCTGCTTCAAGAAAAAAATACTCTGTAAAGCATCTAGATCTTCAGGTTTGTTCAAAAATAGTAGACGTATTCTACTGTTCAATATATTCTAGCATCATGGAGTTCTCACTGTGGTCCACTTATTTGGTCTGTCTTTTTCAGTATTAAAAATAAAGCATTACATACTTTTTTTAATGCTCTTGGTTTGCATGATTATTTTTTCCTGTTCTTTTTTTTTATTTAGGCATGCTGGTAAACCCTACAAAAAAAGTCTATGCAAGCAAATTACATATTCTGAAAAGGTTTTCTCTACAATGCCTAACATGCTACATTAAAGACATAATTAAAATCGTAATGCAGAATTTTGAGAAATTTTGGAAGTTCTTTGAATTGTGTTTTATAGGATGTTGTAAATATTCCAGAAAATACCTAAAGAGCATTCAGGTGCTATTCAATGTAGGCCTGCTACTTCCAAACGATACCAGCAAGTATTATAAATTAGTGAGCAAGTACAGTCAATAACGCTCTGTTTATCTAATAAAGTTTATTACAGAATTGGTGGTCACGACGCAAAATGAAGAGAGGAGGGCAGTTAATGGAGCATAAAATTTCTCTGCCACAGTGGGAAAAAGATTGGAATCTGCAGCCGATGAATCTCCACGGTCTAATGGATGAATATTTAGAGATGGGTGAGCAAATTTAGGGAGGTGTCATTCTTCTTAAGAAACTGGAACTATGTTGCACATTAAAAGACCTTTTGCATTTCTAACTTGTAACCATAGAAATGCCTGTCTAGTTTTACAGTTTGGCTTTACCACCATCTTCGTTGCGGCCTTCCCACTGGCACCTCTCCTGGCATTGCTTAACAATATCATAGAAATAAGGTTGGATGCGTACAAGTTTGTCACTCAGTGGCGAAGACCTATGCCTGCAAGAGCAACAGATATAGGTGAGAGAGCCTAATGATGGCACTGTCAGGTACCATCTCTTTGGGTTTCCTTCTCTAATGCAGCTTAACCCTTGAAATATTTCATGCATCAGGAGGGAAATTGGTAATGTAACCTATGGATCTCAATGACAACTCTGCTGATAATCAACAAAAGGATGCTCGTTTGCTTAGCTAAGAGGACTCCTCAGATTTCCTTTCCGTTTTCAATAAGGGATCATAATATTTGGAATTTTGAAAACAGGCTAAATAGTATTTCTGATAGAGGAACTCTAAAATGCTATCCAGATTCCATTTAATATAGAAATTAAATATAAGGACTAAATTAACTTTTGGTTTAAAACTGAATTAAATAAAAATAAGAGATCTTTTTCCAAAATATTTTGTTTGGCTTATATAACCAAAGATTCTGGTTATATCTTTGTTGCTTAGCTATTTCTTCTCAGCAGGGTGTGCCCTACTGTAAGACTTCATGTGGGTGGTGTCAGTGGTGGCAGGAATGTGGGGACATGGTTTAGTCTTGACTGGCTTTTCTGACTGAATAATTCTTTCTCAATAAGAAAGGAAAACTGTATGACTAATGATGACTTTAATGTCACTAATATGGCTTTAAATGAGTTAATGTGACTGCAATAAACTAATGACTTGTCGTTTCTCTTGCTTCTAGGTATCTGGTATGGGATTCTGGAAGGAATTGGAGTTCTGGCTGTCATCACCAATGCCTTTGTTATTGCCATCACTTCCGATTACATTCCACGTTTTGTCTACGCATACAAATATGGTCCCTGTACAGATCAAGGTTACAGACAAGAAAAGTAATTAAGATATTCTTTATATATGCATGAATATTTCCATGGAAGCACACTTCTGCTGCTGTCTTTTTCTGTTAACATACTTAACATGTCTCGATAACGTTTTACTTTTTACATCTGTGCAAATCTTCAGAGATATTAAGTGCAAGTAACTCAACACTCCAGAGAGTTTGCAAGTTAACTCCATGGTTATGTAAGTGGAAAATCATGTCTTCCCTTCTGAATCCAAACAACAAAGTTCAGTATACATCATAGCAGTTTTCAGGTTTTCTCTAGATAAGGTTTTCTTTTTTTCTGCAATAGTTCTGGACTGTCTTCTCTCGCGATGCTCCCACACACAGATCTATGCTTCCAAACCCTCCTGTAAGGGTGAACAAGCTTAGGATAAACTTCCCTGCCTGTTTCTCTTCAGAAATGCTTGCAGCCAAGCTCCAGAAAGAGTGGCCTTTGACACTATTTAGCCTAACTCCCTATATATAGTGTATCTTAGCTTCGAGCAAGTTGTCTTGCCTGTCTTTGCAGCACCAGGCTGGTTTTCTGCACTTCTCTCCAGACACTTACCAGTGTCTCTGAACTGTGGGTGCACCGTGCTCTGCATTTCTCACTGTCTGTCGTGACCTTTTACATGATCTAGACGGACCACAGGTGTTCATGGCCATCCTGTCTCATTTGGAGACCAGTGCCCTACAGGTGGTTTGCGGGGGTGCTTCTGGAGGGTTTTTTGGTTTTTCTTTTTTTATATGGCAAGCAGGGTTACCTCAAGAAAAGGGGGCATTGCTTTGCTAATATTGTAACACGTCTCACAAGCACAACTGATCTCCTTAATTGCAGAGGAGGAAGGATAACAGTGAAAGCATCAAGGCTTGTCCAGCGGCTGCATTCACAGACTGCCTCAGCTCAAACCACAGGGGTCTGTCCTTCCTTCCCTCATTGTTTCATGTCTGATAATTCGAAATAGAGATTTGCTCTTCCTGTGCTGTCACAGGAAGTGAGAATTTAAGGGCAAAAAGAGTGAGACATGATAAGGTGAAAAGAGACAATAGCAGAAGGATGTTAGTGCTTAATGTGCACTACCCATTTAACAGAGAACTATGTGATTCTATTTCTTCTTTTGCCAGTAGTGATTTGATGTGTCACATCAAACCTGAAGGTTCGGAAGGTATAATAGGATCCCTGATGCTTCTCTTTATAAATGTTCTTTGCCATTCAGAAGGCCCTTTGTTAAATTACAGGACAGATTTCCAAGAAGATGGGATGTCTTACGTGTCCATAGTTTTCCAGGAACAGACAAAAGTTTCACTCCTACGGGCATAATTCAATGTATTTAACTGATTTTTGTCATTAATACTAATAAATTGTTGCCTTTAAGATGGCTGTTTGGTATATACGCCCTGTTCATTTTACTGTTGGTGAAAATTCTTCTTTGATTCAACTCATAAAACCTGTCATTTTTTGGTATATGCTGCATGATCGGTGGCAGATGCTGCAAGGATGTTAAATTATTCTTCTCACTGCGTCTCTAGTCATCTTTCTAAGATAAGTAATTTTAGGAGACAGCTAAGAACACTGTAGCAACAATTTTTGGTTTATATCTGCTGATAGATAAGAAGAAAAACCATAAAAAGTGCTGCAAATACATTTTGAAACATGAGATGAATGGTACTTGTTTCTTTCCAATAAAACTTTGCTTAAAATTTTAGAATCTCTTTTGTTCTGATAAGCAAATCAAATAGTATGCTCGCAAGACATGGTAACAAAATACGTTTACATGCAGGATCTGTGCTATATAACCACTTTTTGAAGGAAGCCCTGACCCTATGCCTTTTACTTTCAGATGCTTAAAAGGGTATGTCAACAGCAGCTTATCAGTGTTTGATCTGAGTGAGCTTGGGATGGGATACTCGGGATACTGCCGGTATGTTTCGATGCTCTTCCTTCCTGTGGTACAGGCATAGTCCTTAACACAGCTATTACATTGAAAGTCAGTGCTGAAATTACTGACAGAATAGTTTATTTCTTGCCTGTAGAAGCATTGGAGTTCAAGTTTGTTCAACTTGGAAGTCTCAGGTGAAAACACTGTGCGGTAGGGCACCGCACTTATGCACTGGAAACCTGTGTTCTGAGTTTTCCAGGACTCATGCAAGCCATATCTTTCATGCCTCTGTGAATTATTTAATTTCAAAGTTTCCCCAGCTGCCAAGAAAGATAAAAATTCTCATTTCAGTCCTGATAAGCAATTTGTGGTTTATTAATTAAAATAATTAAAATTTTTGTTGTGGCTCTAACCCAGGTCGAGATCCCAAACAGTTATGCAAGATGAATACAAGAAATTCAGCATAAAATTTAAATATGACACTGCATGAGCGCACTCCTGGTTTCAGATTTAGTTTTACAGTGAGAGTTAGCTTGAATTGACTTAAGTTACAGAAGCATGTTTCATTTATGCAGACTTTGTCTGGAGAATCTCAAATGCTTATAAGCAAGAAGTGCCATCTTATAAGTAGCCCTATTTAATTGCCTGTATTGTGGACTATTCTCCTTTTCTGTTGAATTCCTCTTGAAGTATGCTTTCACTTCAGTTTCTTTCCATTTAGCCAGATTTGGGATAAACTGGAGAGCTCTTCACTGTGTTCAGGTTTTCGATCACAGGCTAATTTACGGGGGTTTTCTTTGCTTTACAGGTACAGAGATTACAGAGCCCCACCGTGGAGTTCAGCTCCCTACGAATTCACTTTGCAGTTCTGGCATGTCCTGGCAGCACGGCTGGCCTTCATCATAGTATTTGAGGTCAGTGATGGAAGGGAATTATTCTCTTCTACCTCTTTAAAGTCCAAGTTGATTTTTACAGTAGTCCCATAAAAAAATTGTGTCATCGTTTATTCATTACAGTAAAGACAGAGGAAAAAAATATTGCCTTGCCCATACTGTTGCCAGTCAGATGCTTCAAACTGAATTGACAGAGCATGCACAGATTTTAAAGTCACTCCAAAATTGTATTTTCTTCACAGTCATCTTATACGTCGTATTATATAATGTAATGATTCTGAAGATTTGGTTCCCAACCAAATCTTTTATATTTTTTTTTTTTAAATAAGAAATGCAACTTAGTGTACATTAAGCACAGTTATTGCAAAATAAAATCTGTGTCCGGAAAATTATACGTGATCCTACCCCAATATAAAAGTAAAAACGTGTGTACTAACTTTGAGGAAGTTATTACATACTGTCTAGGAATCTGCTTACTTTGATTACAAGCTCTTAACAAAGACTGCTTGTAGGCAGTGTTTGCTGTTGTTATTCAAACTAGCATATCCTGTAGCCACATCTTCATTTAGGTCACTAGCTATACCCTTAATTTTTCAGAAGACTTTTTCAGAAGACTTCAGTATTTTCACATTTTTGATACACCGCTCATTTACACCCATATGTGTGTGTATATAAAAAAAAAAAAAAAAGAGTTGCTTTTCAGTCATGAATTGAATTGCAGTTCCAGTTTTGACATACAGACTTTTAGGCCCTAAAATGTGGTCCTAGAAATGAGTATTTATGCATCTTTGAAGCAATTCTTTTTGTTCTTCTTTTCAGCACCTTGTTTTTGGAATCAAGTCTTTCATTGCCTACCTGATTCCAGACATGCCCAAAGACTTGTGCGACAGAATGAGGAGAGAGAAATACTTAGTCCAGGAGATGATGTACGAGGCTGAACTTGAGCATTTGCAGAAAGAAAGGAAAAAGAATGGGAAACAGTATCACCACGAATGGCCTTAGTCACTACCATGATGCAACAGATACACTGTTTGGAAATTGGAGAGCGCAGTTACAAGATGAAGTCAAGTCTGGCATCAGTGTGTGAGGTTCACGGTGTATATATACGTTCTTGCTGGGCAGTGCAGTTGCAGGCTTTGGCGGGAACTGGAAAATAGATGCTGCCGATGAAGAAAATGAAAGCCTTGCCTGTAACTGGTCTGTGGTGAGCACCATGGAGAATCGGCACTCAGGAATGTGCAGACAGCTTAAAAATTTGGACTCTGGTTTAAAAAAAGGCAATGAAGTTTTATGCTGTTCATGAAGATACTAACAGCGTAATGAAAATAAAAAATTACCTGTGAACTTACACAGTAAAGGCATGACTAAAACCAACTTATATGATATCCACTACTTCTACAGCTTCTGATTGCTCAGCTCCATCTGTAATGCCTCTGAAGAAATGAGCAATTGTTGCCCTTGTGGCCATAACTTGATATAAATGATCTTTCAGGCTTACTGTTATGTCAGGTTTGTCCTAGTCTCTTGTTGAGATTGTGGATGTGGTCCTACCCTTAAAACGGGGTCTATGGCTGCTTAATATATACTATGCAGTTTAAGATTTGCACATCAGTGTCGTTAATTTATCCTTCTAGTTGAAAACCAAAAAGTCTAAATTCAAAGAGAAAACAGCAGCACTAAGAGAACACGTCGCATTGCCCACATTGCAGCTCTGTTTGAAAATGACATGGCTATTGAGTTGTCTTTCCACCTTGGTGTGCAGAAAGGCCACCTCCACACGCTTCCAAGATGAAAGAACTGTCATTTCCGTGCTCTGATGTAGCATGCGGATGTCTCGCTGTGTTACTGTTCCCTTTGACCTGTCTGGGCAATGATTCCATGACTTCACAGAATGCTAACTTGAAATATTCTCATACGGTGACTTTGTCCTGAATATCCAATTAACTCTTTATAGTATGCAAGCTTATGCAGATATATATCAGACATACAGTATAACGTTGTGACTTGCTTGTTCAGGGAAGGAGAAGCAGAGCACTTTATAAAAATGCTCTTCTTATTGTAATAGTAAATGCTCCAGTAACGTGCACTTCTTTTATTGGCCTAAATAAGTCAAAGCATGGGAGTTAGATGCAGGCAGATATGTATACAGATTGTATATAAATGCACACACACACACACAGTGGTTAATTTTAGATTTTTTTATTATTATTTGTATGCCTTCTTAACAGTTGGGGGGGGGGCTTTTTGGATAAAATCACTATAAAAGGTAGATGTTCATGTAAAGAATCAGATTTCAGTTTTATGTGCATAAAAGTATCAGATTTCAGTTTTATGTGCATACAGCAGTGTTGCTTATGGTTATAGTCACATTTTGGTGATGAAATCGTCTACTACTAACGTTTCATAATGTGGGAAAAGACAAGCACTTAATTTAAACAATTTAAATGAGTTTGCAGGGTTGACTTGCAGGGAAGGGGGTGGAGAAACACAGTTAAAATGACTATGTTTCTCTTGTACAATTTTAAGTAATGGTTCTCTATATTGGATGAGCAAAATTTTAAAAAGGACGAGTCAACAAAGCACAGTAACTATAAAGGCTGCAAATTTTAACATTATTTTTAGGGATAAAGCTGCAGCAAAATCACTGCAGACACTTACGAAAAGACGTGAATTTTTACTACTCACAATACCCCATTGAACCAAAAAGGGTGATTCCCGTATTCCCTTACATGTATTAGCACAATCATTTTATTTTATTATGCCATATAAAATTAAGAGTCAAGAGCCCATCAAAGTGAATGAGTATGATCTATTGTATCCAGGGGACCTAACATCAGACCTTAGGTTTTACTCGTTTCACCATATTCATGAGATTTCTTGGTTAATTCCAGCTCTCTGTGACCAGACAAGGCAACTATAGGAGTATCTGCAATATTGCACAAAGGAGGAAAGAAATTGGAAGGTATGGTCTAATCAGATATATTACCCATTAGTTCTGTCACAAAGGGCTGGTGGAACTCAGCTTCTCATATTTTGGAAAGAGTGTTTTGTTCCTTCATATTCTGGGTTGTGTGTTAAGTTCCTCAAGGAGACCTCATCAGAAATAACTAGTGCACTCTCCTCAGTGCTTATAGAATCACAGCGTTTGGTTTAATTTATTGTCTCTCTGTTGAATTCTGTGGAATATCAAGCACCATTTGACAGCATCAACCATGTGTCACAGCTGCTGTTTCTGTGCCACGTAGGGACAGTACTCCAGTTCTCCAGAAGGTCATAGATGAGCGCTCTCTTTAATGCTCGCTCTAAAAACAAAATACCTTGGCTGGCCCAAGGTGTAAAGATACAGGATAAAATTAGGCAAAAATCAGAAATTATTGATAGGTTGTTTTATACTTTCCTGTTTCTGCTGTGGCAAATTCCAATTGGAGTTAAAAAAGACATAGGAAAAAACATTTTGTATTCGAGATTTAAATATTTTATTAATGATTTTCAACACTGGTGTATAAGAGCATATCAAAGGTGAGCATGTAGTTCTGACATTGTGCATTTTACGCACGGGAAAAGCACAAGAAGTTTTTTGAGAAACACTCTGTGTGTTCCTTTATTTTTGGAGGATATCAACAACGTCTAAAGGTTTTTGCCACTATCTAGCCATTTGCTTAAGCTGAGAAAACTTTTTGCTAGACTTCGTTTAGTATGTTGTTTGCATCGACTGCACGTTATTTTATTGAAATATAAGGCACACGCTGTCCTCAGGAATAATGTATTTTATGAATGGTGAATGATCTTTTCATATTCTAAATATTGTCTTTCCAAACAAATGACCAGTATGAATAGACTGCATGCAAGCTGCGTTTGTGAAATCTGACAAAGCTTTAGAACTTCAATTTGTGCAAAGATGCTTTAGATCGTTGCAGATCTAATCTATGACAACTTTGCTCTATGCATGCGCCCTTAGAGAGACTGCATGAGCAACTAGATATTTTTAAACACAAAGGATTAGTCCAAAATGTCTAATTATTCCTAACCAAATTCCGTGTCTCGATTCAGACAAAAGAACTTTCCATTTCAGAAACAGTAAAATGTCCGCATACATTATACACATCTCATTTCTAATGACTTTTCATTCTAAATTTGTGCCTAATGTGTGAGATCTGAATTCTGGTGACTAAAAAAAAGGAAAAAAAAGAATTCTGCTTCATTAGCCATCCTAATGAGAGCTTCCGTCTTACAGCTCAAAGTCTGTCTCCCTGTAGACAGATGCGTTAAGAGCTGAGCATTCACAACTGAGCGTAGCTACCAGGGTTGCCTGAAGGTTGAGCACAGGCTCTCGATTTGTTATGCTGTAATTCCGTTTTCCTTATCAGAAGCACAGCACAGTGATCGAGCTTCCTGATAGAGTGCTCATATTTGGAAACAAGGCAAACCACGTGATGGCTATTTTAAATTTTATTTTCCTACCCCGTTCTGTTAAAGGATTTCTAGAGAAAATTCAGATGAACGTTGAAGTTAATATTGATGCTGACAAAGCTAAAATTTCCATAGCGATGATGGACAATGGGTGGTTCTTTGTTAGATGTTTCTTTGAAAGTTCCTATCTTCATTACTACAAAACGTACTTCAGCAGTTGCTATGCCCTTTTCCGACACCAAGTCATCCTAAATTGTGTTTTGAGGATCAGTTAGGCTCAACTGTGTCCTGTTGAAAGCTCACAAGAAAAATACCTGGAGTGCCTAGTGAAAATAGGTTAATAGGTACATACTTTAACACAGAAATTCATAAATCTCCTGAGGTTTCCGTCGTGAAATTTTGCAGGAGGAAAAAATAGCTTGGGAAACACAGCTTTAGGGTGAGTGTTAATATGGGGAAAGGCAAAAACTTTGGTGATATTTTATTCTTAATGTGCCATTAAGATGATCAGTCAAATATAAGTAGTGTCTGTCTGCTGTTTCCTCGCTGTGGCTTCTTCCACTGCAGACTCCAAGGGGAGCGCTGCCAGAGAGAATTTCTGGAGCCATGGGATCGAGTGGCATTATCTGCCAAGTCCTACATGGTATCTTGGGATTTATTAATCTTTTGTATTATGTCACAGTTCATTCAGGGACAAATTAGTACATACATATTTAGAAGCATCATATAATTTTGATTAACTGAAAACCATCCCTGTCCATAAATTGAAAAGAAACAGTTCGTACATAGTTAATTTGCAAGTGCCACAAATTTTCATTAAAACTGTTATAAACGAGATTTTTCACATACACTGGGCAATGGCCATATCAATAAAACTCATTTTTATACAAACAGCTAAATATGAAGGCAATAAAGTTAATGGAAAATCAGTCACATTTTCTATTAACTGTTACATAGGAGAAAAGGGACACAGATAAAAATAGTGGTATCAGCAATCACTTACAATGCAGTAGTACTTCCAGAAGCGTTTTATTTTTTGTAATCCTTATAAACTACTGATGTTGCTTGTTTGGGGGTAAAGGTCGAAACAAATAATACAGCCAGCTTTTCATAATAATGTTTACTTGGTGGTAAGGCTGACACTAGAATTCAAACAGAATACCACGTTTAGACAGACTTCTTATTTTGTTAGTTCCAACGCATACTTGGTCTGACCACAACGCATGCAGTGACACTTTTTGAAAGTGTTTGAGTGAATTGCAAGCCTGAAATCCTGTGGTGGAAAATTTAGCAGCTTGAGGAAAGATCCCCAAGTCTTTTCATACTCATACTCGCAAAGCCCATGTTCTGCTGGGGTAAAATGCAGCAAGCCAGCATGTGAAGGCTGAGGGTGAGCAGAGGAGGCAAAGGCCTCCTCCCCTTTAGCAAGTTTTTCTCCAGAACTCCAACCAGTTCTGCAAAACAAAGGTTTGAGGATAGAGCATGGTGAAAGCCCTCCCGATCCTTTTTCTCCTCTGCCTCATTCTTTACTTTTCCTTGGTGTTTTATGAAACGATGCCTTCTTGCTGAGAGTCCAATTTCCAGGGCAACTCTGTAACGGCAGAATGTTTTACAGGCTCTTTTTGGATGTCCCTAACTGAGAAGCCAAAGCAGAAAGTGCACAAATGCTCCTTTGTCTGGTGCTTTTTACAAGTTGGTATGCGTTGGACGGAGCAGTGTGAGGAAGCACGGGGTGCATCTACGTGTGCCGTTAGGCCACCCGTTTCTGGATCCGTCCTTTCAGGCGCTTTTCCAAGCACTACATTTTGCACTCCTTCTGTCCCTCTCGACACAACACGCATCCCGAATACCCTACACGATCCTAGCATTTTGAAATTTATATAATAGACTCGCATTGACAATTTTTCTCTCATATTGACATTGCTACCACATTTACCAGGAATTTATATTGGCGTGATTTTGGCATAACCGTGATAGCACAATGTTACCGCAACAGCACAAAGTTCTAACGGCACAACAAGGAACTGTAGAGGAATCATTTTGTTATTTCATGTTATAACAGGAGCTTTTTAAATCCAGGACTGGGATTTAGTCTTGAAATGTTAAACGATGTATTCCCTCCTCACTGCACTGGAAATTACCTTGTGTTAGTTCTGTTGGATCATTCTAACTTTTTGCCATCGCCTCTATAATGCTATATGTTCTCTGTAGTTCGCATTCTTATTGCCGTGAGCTAGTTATTAGGATGCTACATGGTGAGAAATTAGGATTAAACCCAATGCAGTCTAAAGCCAATGAGATTCTAAACACTGAGAACGCGATGATTTTTCTGTTAGTAAGGAAAAAAAATTCAGACCGCCTTTTTATTTTGTGTTCTATTTAGATGACTCAGAGTTTTGTATCGAAAAATCTTCCAAACTGTTGGCTCTAATTTTTACCTAGAGTAGTATCACTGAAACTTCAGTGCTTTGAATTAATCTCATGTAAAATCTAACCGAATAACGTAGTTCAGTCATTTTTTTACTCTGATAGTCCAGGCTAACTTGCAATATCATGATCATAAGATGTTTCTTAAAATGTGTATATATTTGAAATTTATGTAATATTTAAATACAACTTGGTTTCTAAGTAAGGAATAGGAATAAAATTTCAACTATTTTTTCTATTCATAAATCCACACTTTGTAAGTAATATTTAAAATAAGATTACAGTACCACAGAGCGTTTCAGAGAAATTGACTTTTATGCACTACAAGCTAGAAGTTCCTCTGGCATGTCAGTTTTCAGTTTCTTTTGTGTTTTAAGATTACTTTTTCAAGCCGATACATACCCCAGAACTAAAAGAATTCACTGAGGAAAAAGCTGTTGATCTGATTAACTATTGTAAGACACTTTTGGCATAAATTTGTCTTTGAGATGCTGTTTACTTTATCGAGGTTTACATGTACAAATGCAACTACTTACTGTATCATACACATTTGAATATTGCATTTTTTCAGTAATAAACTTGGATATCTTTGAAAGAGGCTTTGATCTTCGTTATTCCAAATATACAAAGTTAATTTAAAAAATCATATACTTGAAAAGCGAGTGCTCGTGAGCCTTCAAACCGTAATATTGTAAGGAAGAAATTTAAGGATTAAAGTGTGCTTGGACACGTAACACAGTACTCACTCTGGTCTCAAGGCACATCTGGACTCCCTTTTCAAATTTCCAATGATTTATGGTCTACTGCTTTCACTAGCGATGTAATAATTTCTTAAATTTAAACTATTGGTTTAGAATTTACATGTTCCTAGTTTCTTAATCTTATTTTTTCAACTCAGGTGTACAGGCTAGCTCTTCTCTGGAAGGGTCAGTGGCTCAGGATGTAGATGAAATAAGAAGACAAGAAGATAAATGTAAACAACACTGACACGAATATTTAATCAGAACGGTAATTTTTCTGAAATCCAGTTTTGCTAGGCCACATCCTTAAATCCTGATAGAAGACTGAATAATAAACAACTGATTAACAATTTTAGCTGTCATACGTCGTACTAAGTGCACATGCTGGGTTTAGTAAAACCTTGTGGAATGCTTGGCACCTTTACAAATGCAAAAAACACTTGGGCTTAATGAGCAGCTTTAGTTGAAACATAACTAGTCCAGAAATACGAAGTTAAAGATAAATTCTTCAGGATATTTCTTCAGAGACATTTTGAGGGAATGCAATTCTAGCCAACCTAAATCGCTTTTTTTTTTTTTACATTAAATTAACAAAGTAAGATTCTTGGATGTTGCAAAGGACTTAGGCACTAAGTCTGTAGTGAATATGGTGTAAACGTGTTGCTAAACTTGTGAGAAAATACTGAAAAATGCAAACCGTGCATCTTCAGGCATGCAGAGCATAAGAACACGGCAATGAGTAAATGTCTCAAGAAATATGCAGAGCAGACTGGGTTATTTTCACAGTTAGATGTCCCTGAATCAGATATCCTCCAAGTACCGGTAGAGAGGTTTTTTCAATCAGTCAGCTAGGTAGCTTCACATTGGTGCTTTGAACCGCTTTGACTCCGTAATTATTTTACATCCTGAAGCATGATAGTTAGGCTCTCTTAACACAACCTAAGCGATAATGTTTGTAGCCATAATCTACACATGATAAAATAAGATAATTTACTGAGTTTCCATGACCAGAAAGCATGCCATGGGAAAAAACAGGCTGCCAGCCAGACCCAGCTGCAAGCTTTAATGAGATTGTAAAAGTGGTATGAAAGGAATTAACACAAATATTGGCTTAACTCTCAGTTAGTTGACAAACTGTCCTGCACAAGCAAGGCAGTGTCACTTACAGACTGCTACTTCTGTTCTGAGTATCCTGGGACCATTCCTAGAGGTAGGGCACGAACACAGTCAGGGGAAGTAACCGCAAAATCCAGGTTGACCAAGATCTACATCATAAAGATGGTTCCTAATAAAGCAAAAGCAAGAAATGGGTTCTTCAGAGCACTATGAGCTAAATACCAGCTGAGTCCGTCACTGAAAAATCTCTAATGTTTTCATGCAGTTGGTTTCATTCAGGCTGAGTTTGGTTTAATAACATTCATCCAGAAAACTGCATCCAGAAGGTTATCAAGGTGACAGGTGGCCTACTGAGTCTGATTTACTCCAGGCAAACTTTAGAGGAAATGTGTTTCACTGAAACAGCACTTAGTGGACTAGGTACCGTCTTCCAAGGCTTTTTATCCAACAGATTATTTTGCCTAATCATGTGCATTTTTCCAGAATTCAGCATGGCTTGTCAGTTACGAAGCATCATCATCAACATTTGATGTTCTTTATTGCATAAAGGAAATAGACGGGTATTTCTGAGCTGAAAGGTTGTCTTCCCAAGACTAACACAGAGAAAGAGCTATCCTGAATTCCAAGTAAAATTTGTTACTCTCTCCTATAGCTTTTACAATAAGACATTATAACGAAATTTTCATTCCGCAGAGGAAGCAAACATGATTAACTCGGTCACTACAAGACCAGCCTGGTCTATACAACGTTCCTGTGAGGAGGGTTTTTGTAATACCTAAGAATAGGCAGAGACTAGTTCAGCCTGACCCTCTCCCTTCCATCAGAGGGCAGTTCCCAGTCTCACCTTACTGGGAGGCCTCAAAAACTTCCCTGAAATCTTACTTGACTCAAGTTCACCTTTGCACGTTTCCCTCCAGTGACTAGTTACCGAGCAGAGCGTGTGATAGAGACACGCTGCGGCTGCTTCCGAGCAGGAGCTTCCATGACAAGATTCATGAAACGTTTCTTCTGAAACAGCAGTGCTTCCAAACCCCCCTTGTCCAATGATTTCCCAGGTCTGCCATGAAATTCATAAATAAAAATCTGGCCTTTATTGCTATAGAGAGCAATTGTTCCCTCTTGGTCACCTACAAGCTGGTAAATGCAATAAGAAGAACCCTTCATTCCTGAAGCTGGAGAAATAAAAGTTTAATTAAAGGTCCCACGTCCCTCAGGTTCTAGAGACGAGATTCTCTGCTTATATTAGTATAGGAATTTTCCTCAGGATTGTAGCCAGGGAACTGGCATTTGTTTTCTTTGTTGATATTATTCTTGAAGGTGTCATCTGTTCCAGTTTTATTTGCAATAACTTTAGGCACCTGAAAAAAAAAAAGAAAGAAAATGCCCTAGTAGTTTGAACGCTGTATTCACTGCTCCTTTCCTTTGCTTAAAGGGTATCTTGTTGCATTTTGAAATCTTGGCGATCTTTCTTATAAACCTGTGGAGTTCCTTCACTCCATTAAATGGCTCTCAGACCCACAAACAGGCACAGTTCAGCGTGCCCCCTCAATACACTGCTTTTCTCATTCCCCCATAGAAAATCTTTGGCAAAAGAAACAAAAACAACTTCTCACAACTCCTATATTCATGTAAAAGTCATGAAATGTGCCCTCAGTGCCTTCCTAATCACTTAAATTTAGGTTTTTATTTGCATATTTTAGTGGATTAGGTTTTTGTCTGCCCTACACTTGCTTCAGTGGTTTCACATTGCAACTACTTAATGTTTTTATTTTACATTTTAAGCAAATGCAAGGGGATGAACGCATATGTAATTTTTCCTGCTTTTATTGAGATTTTTTGCCCTCCAGAAAAGTGCTAGACAGAGGGGGTGTTGAGCACCTAAAAAAACAGCTGAAGCAAATCTAGAGCCACAGCTGCTCTCCAAATTAAACCATTAACTTTAATATCAAGCTTAATGCCAGCTGGGTGGAGGGACAGCTTCTACCTTATCGTCAAATACTGTGAGCCTTGCAGCTGAGAGTTTAATTTTAATATTTAAAGGTACCTCTAGAGCGCTCTGAAGGAGCTGAAAACACATATTGCTTTATGTCCCCTCTCTAAACATGGCAGGTTCTGCTAAGATGGAGCAATGTTGTTTCCCCGCAAACTGTTAGGATGGTGCTAGAAAATGAGGTGCTCGTCATTCATGGTGTCTTAATGAGCTCCAAAGCCCTGACACACCTGTGGAAAAGTGGGTGGAGGGGATGGTGGGCAGGGCCAGCTCAGGTGCTGGTGGTTGTAGCCCTGAGTGATGGGCCAGCAGTGCTCTGGAGGAGAGGATCTGCAGGGCGTGGAGCTGGGGATGGCAGCAGCCGGAGAGCTTCGTGGATGTGTTGAGTATTAAAGTATTTTTCTAAGTGGAAGGAGGCAGTAAGTAGTTCGGTGAACTCTCCTCTGGGGTGTAAAGTTCGGTTTTGACCCCGCTCAGTTGCTGGGGAGGGCAGGGAGAGGGAGGTCAGCCCCCATTTCATGGGCTGCTGGCCATCCCCAGGGCTGTCTGTCTTCTGAGACCCCGAGTCCCTCTGTACTGGACAAACAGGGAAAATAGGTGACTTATTACTGAGCAATGCTGAGCAGGGTTTGGCTGATCTCATTTCCCATCCGTGGTGCCTACGCAGCATCCTTTGTGTAACTTTAAAAGGTGATTGCTGAAATCTGCTCTCCATATGAGAGACGTGCCTTCACGCCCGCTGCTCCTGGGCCGTGGTGGGCTGAGCTGGTGGGTGCAGGTACTCACCTCCTGGCTGTCGTGCTGCACGCCACACCAGAGGAGGGTTGTGAGTCTTTTGGACCAAAAGCAAAACAAGTTGCAGACTGGTTTAATTAACACTGGTGGGATATCTTCTCCTTTATTAGGTCCTGAAAGGAGAAAATAATGATACCTGAGTCTATGGCAAGCTAGGTGGGAACCTTGGGAGCCTTAGAGCATGAGGTGTGGGGAGTGGGATTGGAGCTTGCTGCTCTCTCCTGAATGTGTCTTCCCAGATGCTTGTTGGACTCTTTAGAAGCTCTTTTAACAGCAGAGCCAGGGTCTTGTGCTAAGCATTTCTGTAAGTATATGTATTGAACACCAACCTGTTATAAAGCTGATCAACAGCCCTGTGACGGCACAGCCTAGGCAGCCGATGGCACTGAAGTACAGGTAGGACAGGGAGTACCAGGTGTCTGCCAGAAAAGGCCTGTGGGAAGGTGACAAAAGCAGCTAGTGATGATCAACAGGTATGTTTATGTTGTTTCTGGACTGTGCCAGCAAACCGCAGCTCCCGCCGCAGTCGGTGCGTGGTCGGCAGCGGTCCGTGCTCCCAGCCCGCTCGGCAGTTACTGCCTGCACCCCCGGTGCACGCTGCGGGCTCGGGCTGCACGCTCTGCCAAATTCTAGCCATGGGTGGTGACAGCAGGGAGAATACCTGTCTGGAGATGCTGTGGAAGCCGCCGTCGCCAGCGCCTCGGTGCTGTTAACCAGTGTGCAGTTGAGAGTCGACAGTGGCAGAGGAATGGACTTGGTCGGTGGTGCGGGGTAAATGAAAGAGCCGGTACCAGCCCAAAAAGCCAAGGTGATCCCAGCTAAGAGGCCTCCGATAGCACCCTGGGCAGGTATAGAAAAGGTTCTGTTAAAGGTGATGCACGGGAAGAGTTTCTCTGCGATGTGAATTAAGCAGGAGCAGGTGGTGTCTGGTGACAGT